GCATTCAACCTATATGCACATGGGCAATGTGTGTTTATAACTGTGAATCAACGTGCTTATTTTTATTATTACTATAGAATGTAGCCTTCTTGAGAGAAGAAACTGTCTCTTTCCACACAGCTCAGAGCCCAGAATCCAGAATATGACAGTCATTCCCAACTTGTTGTAGAATGAACTCATATACAAAAGATATCTTGTAAACCTGTTTTCAAATTTAAAATGATGCTTTATAAACAATATTCACCCCATACTTATTTCCAAACTGAAGATTCAAAATAATATTCCCTAATGTAACTGCTTTAAATCTATTAACTTGTAGGAGATGTCACTCAATGGTAGGATGCTTGGGTCTCAGGTTCAAAACCTGGCACAACAAAATAATAAGTATAATAAAATTTACTGCCTTAAAGGTGTGTCACACTTAATTCCCATACTACACATTCTCTTCATAAACACATGTGCATTTAAATAAGGCCCTTGTTGACATTTTATTACATTTACAAAACATTACGGTTGAACATGAGATATATACAGAGACAAAATCTACAACAAAAATCTATCTTGCTCCAAATGGAATCTGATCACTAAATTTGAAGCACAATAAAATTAATTAAAGCACCATGTGGCACCTGATTCTCTTACTGACTCCCAGAACCTATTCCTCCCTAATGTATCTTACCCTCTTTCTGGAGAGCATCCCCACAGTTAGCACTGAGACATCTGCCTGACTGCTCACACCCACTGCAGCCTGCACCTTCACTGCTGGCCCCGCAAGATGTACATTAGAACATTACAGCTAAACGCCTACCTGAAAAAAATCTCAAGGAACTTAAAATAATAGTGATATATACTCCCTACCTCTGCCAAAAGTCAATCTGTCAAGTAAAATGGGCAGGAAGTATAGGGGAATATCTATGTAGTTAAGCCTTGATAGCTCATTCTCTGATTCAACTTTACTTAGTTGAATAGCACACTGGAGGCTATTCTTCCTACGAGTCTTATTAACACTCTATGAGAATGGATAGATAACTTGGAGGATGAATACAGATACATCTCATTGTGAAATAGTTGAGCCAAGTCCATTGGTATCTAGAATTACATGCCCTGTCACTGAACAGTTTTCTGCCTCTCCAATTACAGTTACAGCTATTAAGTACCTGGCTGAACAAGGTAGAGCCAACAGCCAAATCCACTGGGGAGCCTAACACAGATGATCAAAACAGTCCTGAATTGCTCAGAAGCAAATGTCACCACTGGCTATCTCCTCAGTCATTTCTACTACTTAGAACAAATCTCATGTGACATTTGATCTTTAATTTTAATAGCAGTAAACAATCAATGGGCATGGCTAGATCAAAATTACAAGCAAAAGCCTGTAAGACAAAAATGCTATGTTTTGTTTTTTACATATTTCCCTGTTCAAACTCACCATTAAAAAATAATCAAATCATTTTAACTTCTTTTTCTAATAAATCAAAATATATGCTTAGGCCATCATTCTGCATTTCTTCCCCCCAAACAGACTGATATTAATACCAGAAAGTACCACCTGCAGGCTGCAGCCTTCACTGGTTCTCTAAGACACAGGCAATAGCTTATGAGGAGAATAAAGGAAGCAGTTTTGAAGGTCTATGTAATGATATCAACAAGATTCAAAATCATAAGGCTTTCCATAAGTCTGATCTTAAGGAAGCCTTTTTTTCATTTTATATATATATATATATATATATATATATATATATATATATATATGAGATTGCTCAGTTTCACAACTCAATCAAGAAACAGAACCTTTCTTCCCTCAGCATCCTCCCTGAGGCTCCATCCTGCCCAGCTCTGACTCATGCTCTCCCTACAGTCATGATCTGACATCCACGTTCATCTAATTGCACCATGTCAACATGCTATAAAAAGATAGCAAACAGATGTGCTCTCACTGCCTCCACGACCTTGGAAGAGTCTCTCAGTATGTTGAGGTGAACACACACTGAGACTCGGTTGGCAAAAAAAAAAAAAAAAAAAAAAAAAAAAAAAATGTTTTCAGAATTCAATCAAGCTTAGTGCCAGGAGTTGTATTAACCCAGTGTCTACCCCAAGCTTCACAGCCTCCTGAAGGCACTGGTGGATGACTGGTCGTAACCCGCCCCAGAGTTCCTCCCCCTCTACATGAACATCTGATTGTTGGCCCTTTCCCTCAAATGGTCTCTTTCTTTTCTGATTTATATTCAACACAGACTCTTTTCCTGCTGGCTGCACTTAGACCCTCTGAACTCACTGCACCCAATTTTAACATAACTCTCATAACAAACAAGCACCTGCCGCTGCCATCTTCTATACCAACTATCTCCCCTGAAACCATGGGCAAAACCAGACCTTCCCTCCTTCAAGTTGCTCACGGCAGGTCTTTTTCCATCATAATAAAGGGTAACTAACACGAGGCCTTATCTTCTGTCACATGAACTCAGTGATATCCCTCTTTCTAATGGGTTACCCTGACTTAAGCTCTTCTCACCTCTAATCCAAGTGTCTTTTGCCTATCACAGCTATGAGGATCCCAACCCAGCCCCACCAGCCCCTCTCGGGAAGCACAGAAGAAGAGCCAAGCCATGAGCCTGGAGCTAACAGAAAAATGTCTGCAGCAGATGCATCTAGCTTCTAATCTTTCTATATTCTCTCTGCATCACTTAGGAAAAAAACTGCTACTTCAGAACACACTTCCATCACTCACATTCATGCTTATGTTTAGCTTTCAGTTTGGAATTAATTCCTCAAGCCAACTGCTTTTTGATGTCTTTTTCAGCATTCTATGACCCTCTTGGTACCATCAGCATCTTATTCCTAACTCACTGAAAGCAACATATACCAGTTACTTTTTTTGTCACTGTAACACTCGGTTCAGGCCACCTATATGGGTCAGGGGGTAAAGGCACTTGCCACCAAGCCTGATGACCTGCATTTGATCCCTGGGACCCATACAGAAAAGACTGACTCCCACACACTGTCCTCTGACCTTTACATGTACAGTGTGGCTCTCTTGTGCATACACAACATGACAAAATAAACAAGTGCAATAAGACATAATTAAACAAACATATAAACTACCTGACTAAAGCACCTTCAAAGCAGAAAGCTTATTTGGCTCACGGTTTAAGGGCTACAGAGTGACACTGTGGTAAGGACATGATGGCAGGAGCAGCCAGTGATGACTAGAGCTTGCTCAAATCTGGGTGCATCAGGGAGCACTGCTGAGAAATCTCAATGCCTTCCCCCAACAGCCCCTCCCTCCAGCAAGGCACTGAGGTAGGAGAATAGGAAACTGGAAAAGGAAATGTCAGAGACTAAAACATAAAAAAGACAGCAGCCTTTAGTCTAGCTGAGCTTCATTCAGACAAAAGAGCATGCTCTGAAGAGCTGTCTGCATTAAATGACCTTGGGAGAGACAGGTACTAAGCTGATGACCTGTAAAAGGTCACTGCAGACCTTGGCTCACCTATTTCTGTCTTCTTGGAGCCAGGCCACTGGTAAGATATGACACTCATGAGGCCCCCATGTATCTTTCCCTTAATGCACCATCCCCTTTCTTCCAACTAGCCATGCTTCTCTGTACAATTCCTTGTAAAGCGTGTGGAAATTCCATCATATACCCTGCAAACTCAGATCTACACCAATGATATTCCCACCTCCCTCAGATCGATCACACACACACACACACACACACACACACACACACACACACACACACACGCATGCGCGCACACACACATACACCAGAATAGCACCACTGGGGACTGAGTACCCATACATAGGAACCTTGGAGGAGGGGGTTCACAGTCACAGGGGACACAGCAGTTGTAGTTGATGGACCTTCCCTACAAGCTGTGCTCCACCTTAAGCCAAGTTAGCCCATGAGAGCATGTCCCCAGTGAGTCTTCCTGAGCTACTGAAGTGACAGCTGATTTTTTAAAGACTCTGTTGTATCTTTTTACTAAATGAGAGTGATAAGCTTCTATTAAACAAACTACCTAAACACCCAGGTTAACATCATGAGAAAAACCCACTCAAAGATTTAAAAGCACACAGCAAACCATCCAGGTAGCTCTCCTCTTGTGTGTGACCTCTTCTTTGTATTCTCATATTACTGCACTTGTTAATTAATTCAATTCACCAGACAAACGACCAGCAGCTGGATCACACTAAACACTGGCATATTTTCATCACACCTGTATACTTCTCTCAGTACCTGCAGACAATTTTAGCTTTGTCTCCCTGTGAAATCTGAGGGAAAGTGCTCAACTTTACTACTTTTTAATAAATGGGAGATGACAAAAAGGAATCCTGAGAACTCTGAGACTGAGTATGAGATTAAATTTTCCAGAAATGTCGTTCAAAACTAATGGACAATTACGGCACTTTAAATACTTTAACTTCATGCATTCTCCCTCCCACTCGATGCTTCTTATGTGCTTTAAGTAGATGAAGATATTCAATTCTTCTTTTGGTATTTAAGAAAATAGAGAAAAGCCTTCTTAGGAAGCCATGAAGTGGAAGACTTCAGAGGGCAATGAATGTGTGTCATCTACCTTTGGTGATGCTAATGCTTGCAACAGATCTATTCCTAGGTAAGAAAACTTTTGTCAAAGCAAACAGAATGTGTCAGTCTGTGAGAAACATTCTTTTTTCTATCAAAGGCAGTCAGGCCAATAAGGACCAGTATTTCCTTAATCTCCCCCTTCCCTTTTGTGCCAGTCAGCCAGTTGTGAAGTCAAGCTCCCACCAAAGGGATGAGATACAGTGACAACCTACTTTGGTGATGAACACAGAGGTCATTCTGTCCAGCATGCTAGCTAGCAGGTATGGGTTCAGATGTACCATTTTTGCAAAAGGAAAAAATGACAAATTATTTTCAGTTTGTTTGTGTGCTCCTTTGTGTAACACCAAGATTATTCTTTTCCCAATAAATACTTCAAGGTCAGTGCAACATGTCAGCCTTGAGTACCAACCTCCGCTGTTCTTCGCCATGTTCTCCTGAAGGGACAGTGAGACACTCATCCATGTGTCCATGTAGTAGCCGGAGAACATCACCACCGATAAGATACCCTGCAAGGATTTAAAGTCATTTGTGTTCAGAATACCATGGCCAGATGCTGATGCCCAGACAATATATTTGATAAAATCATCTACTTGTACTGATGGAGACACACTGGGCTAGTAAATTGTCTCGAACCTGTGACCAAATCACCGAGTGGCACTGGCTGACCCCTTGAGTCAGTTTGATATTTTAATCAAAGGGTGTGGCCCCAGTCCCTTAAACATCACCATTAAATACACAAAATGTGGGGCTATGGAGACCATTCAATCAGCAAGTGAACCCCTGGGACTCACCGGCTGGCCAGCCTTGACTCATCAGTATGATCCAAGCCATCAAAAAGACTCAATCAAAAACTAAATAAAAGTGAATGAACATGAGCATTTACACCTGTGCACCCACATGTATGCAAACACATATACATGAACACATACATGCACACATACGTATGACAAAAAGTAAACAACACCCAACCCTCTTGATCTCTAGCCTCTACATGTATGTACATACACATGCACACACACACACACACACACACACACACACACACACACACACACACACACTCACACACACACAAACAAGTACTGGCTCCAATTTGAAGCTATAAAAGTGAGAACTACCATAATCAAGGCAGCTATCACCTTGGGAGACCCTGCTGCATAAACATCATTGTGATCCAGCTACTAGGCACAGGAATGATAATAACAAATGATGGCATGAGACTAACTGAGCAGTACCGCGAGGTCTCCCAATGGGGTAAACAGCCCTTAGAGAGCTAGCACATGAAATCACAGAAATCAGCCAAAGTTGACAACACCATGAAAATAAAAGAAGATGAAGTCTAGCACGGGCTTCACTTTTAAAGAGCAGCTTAGGCAAGATTCTAAAATGTCATGTTTCTGCATGATAGAATATGGGAACATGAAAGGTCTCTAATTAGCCATCAGCTCATTATCACAATTCCAGCGATCAGCATCAACTCTGTATCAAGGACAAGCCTTTTAATTAGAGAGGATCTCTTACCTTGGGCTGCTTCACTTCCTGAGCTGATAGGGGCCACGCTCCAGAGGGTCTGCTGGAAGGCAGCATCCACATGCCAGCTGCTGTTGCCGTATGACAAGTGCTGCAGCAAGAGGCAAGAAGAAGCATTGCTGTAAACCTGGTGCAGGGGCTCTGGCAGCCTGGGAGCAACACTGCTGGTTTGGAAACAGCCGTCAGGAACATGCACTTCAGCCTGGTCTTCAAAGATCAAACCACTAGACAGCATGGAAGCACACACCCAGAATCTTAACACTTGGAGAACTGAGGCAAAAGGATCCTGATTTCAAGACCAGCCTGGACAACATGCCAAGACTCTGACTCAAAAATAGATAAACCTAAACAAGATAATTAAAGTATGAGCAGAAAAAAGAATAATAGAAGTATCAATCTGTTCTAGTTTCCTTTCTGTTGCTGTGATGGAACACTCTGACCAAAAACAACTTAGGGGAGGAAAGGATATACTTGGCTTACACTTCCAGATCACAGTCCATTATTGAGGAATCTTGGCCTAGGACAAGCAGGAATCATGGAAGATGTTGCTTGCCGGCTCGTTCCCCAAGACCCATGCTTAGGTAGCTTTGTTATACAGTCTAGAACCACCTGCCCAGGGAATGGTACTACCCACAGTGGGCTAGGCCCTCCTACACCAATTCCATAAAGGCAATCCTCCATAAATATGCCTACAGGCCAATCTGTTCAGGGCAACCTCTCAAACAAGACTCCATTCTCAAGTGATTCTAGGCTGAGTTAAGTTGACAGGTAAAGCTAACTAGAACACTATGTAACTTTAGATACTTTTCAGGTTCATCCTAAGAGTTACTGACTTGAATCAGTAATCAGAAAATACATATGAATAACAAATACACTGAAAAAAATTATTTGTAAGAAGAAACTTTGTCTTTAGGTTGCTGATAGACAAAATAGTATTAAAGTGAGCACTTGAAATTATCATTCATTTTTGTACATATGATACTGTGATAATTTATTGACAACCCATTATGCGAATAAAACCCTTTGGTGACTGTTAGCTGCAATTTGATACCAGAGCCAGTAGATGGTGATTCCAATTTTCAGCAACAATTTCACTCATTCTCTTAAAAAGAAACCACCAGATAAAGAAAATGCAGCTCACATACACAAGAGAATTTTATTCATCCATAATGAAGAATTGTAAGATGGATCATCCTGTAGGAGAAATAAGGAAGACTGGATGACAGATATTTCATGTTTTCTCAAAAGACAAAAAAAAATTTAGATTGAAAAACAGTATATGCATCCATGCATGCATATATGTATGTGTACATATAGGACTATGAGAGGAGGAAGAGATCTAGACAGAGGGAAGATAAATGAACAAGTGAGAGCAAAGTAATTACGTGTTTCATGAAAGCAGAAGGGGACAGTGGTAGAATGGAGGAGGGCCCACAAGAGGAGAGCAGGAATTGAGGGCACACACTAACAACAAAAGGATGACTAAAGTATAAAATGTCTGATATCTATGCGTGAGAGAAAATGTCTCAATGAAATCCATTTCTTTGTATGCTAACCAAAAATCAATTAAAATAAAAGACTTTTGAAGCTGAAAAACTGCATATTAACCCCATCTTTTGAAACTGACACTGTAAAATACACATACGAACTTCATCACTAAATGCACCAATCAATAGATTTTAAAATTTCCCAGGGGATCATCAGGTTTAGCAATCCCTTCTTCCTCTCTCTCAAACTCCAGCTGTTCCTTTGCTTTCATTCAAGCCCTTAGTCACCTTAGGGTGATCATTCTTATGCTCAGTCCCCACCTGAGACTCCTTTCCTGGCTCAGTTTTCTTTCTGCTGATGTGAAAATGCCTTCAGTGTTCACAGACCAATCCTATCCCATTTGCTCCATAAATAAGAACAGTGTATTTTCTGTGACGATTAACACACAACAAATTCTTTGATTCATTTCTTTCTCCCCCTTCAAGCTGCCTGACTGAGGTTCACAGGGGTGCCTCTCACCATCCAGAGTGCTACTCAATACACAAGGAGAAGGCGCCGGTCAGACCTTTAAAATCTAAATAGCATAATTTCATCAACAACCTTTATTCATTTCTCTTTGTGTACATGATGGTGTATCTGTTTGTATTCAAGTGTGAACACTCATGAGTATGGAGGCCACAGGCTAAAGTTGGGTGTCTTCTTCAGTCACCTCTCTATGTTTTGGAGACAAGGTCTCTTGTTGAATCTAGTCCTCACCAATTTAACTAGACTGACTAGCAAGGGAGCTCCAGGGATCTTCCTCCCTCCACCTCCATCTCTGGAATTGCAGGCACATGCCACTGTACCTGGTTTTTTATGTACTTGCTGAAGATTGGTACTCAGGTCCTCTTGCTTGCATAGGAAACGTTTCACTCACTGAGCCATTTCCCCAGCCCCCAGAACAGATTTTAAAAAATCTGAGTTATTTCTTTGTCAATGACTTAGTAAACAGATTTGTACATATGTGCGTGTGTATATACAGCATATATAGTTTATCAAAACTCCTAAAAATAATTCACAGTAATAATTCTTATATTTGTTTTGGTTTTAAACCAACTGCAAGTTCATACACACTCAGGACAGATAACCATTTGTTCACACATCATGGATTCATTCAATGTATTGTCTAAAACATTGTTCTGAGTATTATCAGAGTGAACTTCTGGCCCCAAGGGTACTTGTAATCTTGTAGGGGGAGATAAGTGAGCTACATAAAATGCCATGCATTAATACATTTTTTAAATGTGTAAAGTACATTCAAACTGCTTCAGGAATTATCAAAAGGGAATATTTCCAACCAAACAACTGAAACAGGCTTCATCATGCTGGGTCTGGAGGGGATACATTGATGCCATGGGGAGAGGTGAGAGTTTTCACGGCAAAGGCTTTGAGGAGAGCAGCGAGATCACATGGCCTGGATCTCCTATTTGAGATACATTGTCTCCAAACAAGTAGATGCATACTGCATATTTACGTATGTATAATATAACGTCAATGGTTTGGCTATAAATGTTTTAAGGATACTAAAAATGTTTTATGAGCCAGTTTGGATTTTTCATTTTAATATATCAGACTACATGGCACAGTTGTGGACTAGGCCCCTCTGGCTGTCTAAAAACTCTGATAAAGGGAAAATATGGCCAAGAGATTACCATAATCAAAGGGCAGAGTCCTGAGGACGACATAGAGTGCAGAGTCCTCTCTTCGAAGCTTCGGGTACACACTAAGGAGGGGAGAGAAGGACAGACCTGCAGACAAAGGCTGGTGCCAGATCAAGGAGCTCCCACTTCAGGCAGCCAGGAGCTACCACAGCAAGAGTGATGAGTGAGTGGAGGAACTGAAAGGGATCTGTAAATGAGACCTAAGTACAAAGATGAATCTCACATGGGAGAAATAGAAAAATGGGAATGTGCCAATCTGTGAGGAAGAGTTCTAACTATGTCCTTAAGAATATACTGAAGTCATAGAGAATTATCTAAATGAAACCTACTCTTCAAAAGGAATCATCTCAGGAAGCATTGCCTCTGGAATCTTCTACTTAATTTTGCTGCTTAAACAGCAAAATAGAAATCTGAGTAGGAACAGCATCAAGCCAGACCCATTGCTATTAAATATTCAGAAGGCAGCAACAATCCAACTACTGAAACCAAGATGAGTTGTCCTTAAAGCAGAGATAGATGATGGCATAGGCTGAAAGCAAAATCAGCCTTGGGCTCAACAGTGTGTAAGATAGCAGTCTCAGCCATAGTAAAGCCATGTGTCATGACTCAGGGCTCCTGGCAATCAGGTCTCACTCACCTTTAACCTAATGTTAATTATGTCAACCTTTATTATTTGGTGTGTGTGTGTGTGTGTGTGTGTGTGTGTGTGTGTAGTCCAGAGGACAACTTCAGCATTTGTTTCTCAGGTGCTGCCCAAGTTTTTTGAGTCTTTCTTTGGCCTGGCAAGTAGGCTAGGCTGGGTAGTCAGCAAGTCCCAGGGATCCACCTATGTCTACCTCCCAACTGAGTGCCACCATACACCCAGCTTTTAGATTTATTTTATTTTACATGCATGAGTGTTTTGTGCCCCCCCCCGTGTGTGTGTGTGTGTGTGTGTGTGTGTGTGTGTGTGTGTGTGTGTGTGTGTGTGTTGTGTGTGCCACATACATGCCTGGTTCCCACAGAGGTCAGAAGAGGGTGTTGAATTCCCTGGAACTGGAGTTACAGATGGTTGTGAGCCACCATGTTGGTGCAAGGAAATAAGCCTGGGTCCCTACAAGAGTAATAGTGACCCAAACCACTGAGTCATCTCTCCAGCCATGACTTTTCACACATGTGTTCTGATGGATGGAACTCATGCATTCATGCTTACCCAGCAAGCTATCACCCACTGATCCATCACTCCCAGCCCATGAATTTTAACTTTTAAAATATATAAGAATCATTTGAGCAATTCGTCAAAAGGGGGAAAAAAGTGGGAAAGAAAAGTAGTTTCCAATTTAGGAGCAGTAGAGCAGAGACCATCAAAACTGCTGATCCTAAATTTATGTTTGGGGGAATGAGATATTATATAACAGAAACACAAAATCTCAAAGACCTAAGTGCCCCACAGCTTTCCCTGGGGATCTTAACTCAAACCCTATGAGTTATATTCTGACCTTTTAATTTCCTTTCTAATCCTATGGATTTATTTGATGCATTCTAAAAGCTGATTGTGACAGCAGGTCTGAATGCTTTATCAGATTGCCAGAAGGTTCCATTGACCCAACATTTTTCTAAGATTCTTTGAATTCAGCCCTTGTCTGATGCAATTTTTCATTCATTTATTTATCTCTTATTAAATGTCAGGCGCTTGGGCCCTGGTGATACAGCATTCCAAATAAATTAGCATCCAGGGACAAGAAACATGAGTAAACAAGCCATCTTAGCCCTCAGGCTGCAGCTTTTTTTTTCCTTTGGAAAAAATAAGAAAAGATAAATGGGGGAAAAAGATGTGGATGCTTTTTTAAATGTAATGTTCGATGGCTCTACCATCTGGGCCACAGGGAGAGAAAGGGGGACTCAAGGTAAATTAACTAAAATTGAATTGGAGGAGCTGGACCTGATGGCTCAGTGGCAAAGTGTTTGGGATGGCCCCCAAATTGAACTGGATGACATAACAAATCACTTGTAAATATTAATGACCTCTGCCTTCTGTTGCTATATTTATGCAGCTTTAGGAAAATCAGCAACTTGTCATGTAATCAAAATATCTTTTTATTTCTTATTTAAAAATCCCAGATAAAGATCACAGAGATGACTGAGCAGGTGGGTCAAGGCTCATGGTGCCAAGTCTGAAGACATGAGTTAGGTCCCTTCTGGTACCATCAGCATCTTATCTCTAACTCTCAGAAAACATGTGTTAGATGTTTGTCATTGATAAAATATGGATCTAGGGCTAGAGCGAGAACTCAGAAGGTAAAGATGTCTGCCACCAAGACTGTTGACCTGAGTTCAATCCCCAGGACCCACGTGGTGGAAGGACAGAACTGACTCCTGAAAGTTGTCCCCTGATCTCTATATACACGCTATGACACATGCACAGAACCTGGATCCCCTGAAAGAGCACCAAGAGCTCTTAACCACTGAGCTATCTCTCCAGACCCCTGATTGATTTTCAATCAGTTATTGGAGCATTGCTTTATGGATCATAAGATTTTTGAATGTCTACAAGTGACCGGAACAACAGAAAAATCAACATTTCAAGAGTGGAAAAGACAGATGGGAAACTTTGGTGCAGACCAGAGAGATTTTACAACTGACACACTAAAAGCGAAGTTTCATGTGACCTATCCTATTTTACTCCGTTTGAAGTCGATCCTAAGTCAGTAACACCAACTTGTCCTGCTTTCACAAGGCTAAGTTCTTTCTCTTACACAAAAGCTGCTTTGCAAAAGCCTCTTTAGAGGACAAATTGTCCAATAGGAGCACAGAAAAACCCTTCTGGATATTCTTGAAAAGATTAGGATGCCGTTTCAAATTAGAACAGCAAACGGAAGTAGCGTGAGTAGTTTACAACCAATCTTATAGCCAAGACCCTTTATTCCTTGGGAATCGACCTGTGTCCAACTTAAGGCTGACAGGCTGAGGGCTCCCAACCACAACACCCTCTCTGTTTAGGAGGTGCTTTTGCAGATGGGAGGGAGGAAAATCAGCCAGCCATCAATTCACCACTGCAAGGGCTTCAAGCCCCATTAGTGTTCCAAGGGAAAAGTCGGATTAACCTTAATTGAGCTAGAGTGAAAGAAAAATAGCTCAACAGTCATAGACCCGATAAGAAAAAGCTAAATACTGGGAGTTTTAATTTTCTATAGTCACTTTAATCAATATGTTTTGAGACAAAAGTTTTCATTCATTTTTAACCAAATTAGCATCTCAGAATACAGACATTGCTTTCACATAATAGATATTTATTTAAGACACTCTGTAAATAGTCCTCTTCTGGCCAGGTTTTTCTTCCTCAAGCTAAATACTGGCACACTTCTTTAACCATTGTGCAAAGGCACAACCCCCCCAAGCAAACAATGGCAGCCACTCACTATGCAAGGGCTGATGATCTTCCTTAGATTTCAGCATTTGATTCTCCTAATGCCCCTGTGTCAGTTGGATTATTCATAATTCCCATACTGTAGATGAAGAAACTGAGGACTCACATGAGGCCTGGGGATGTGGCTCAGTTAACAGTGCTTATCTAGAATGTACAAGACTTGAGCACAAATGCCACCGTGAGCACTAACTACATAAAGCAAGCCTGGCACCATGTGTCTGTAACACTATCACATGGAAGGTGGAGACAAGAGGACCAGAGTTAGTCTTGACTTCACAGTGAGTTCAAGGGCAGCCTAAGGTATTTAAAGTTCATTCACTACCTTTCTTCTTTACTTTCATTTGTTTTCTAAAAGGCTTTGCACTGAGTCCACCACATCCACCCCTGAACCCATTACCACAGCATGACCCATTACTATCCAATCAGTGGAAATGTGAGACAACAATGAGTGATACTTAGTTCAAAGGGGACATCGGTCAGCATCAGCATCCCTCACCCATCCTGTAATACTGACAGTCCCATAACTGTTGGGAGGAATCCTTTAGGTGGTGGGGCCTAGAGGGAGAAAGTTGGGTGATTGGGGCTGAGCCTTTGACAGGAAGATGAGGATCCTTAGTTCTTTTTAGTTATGTCCCCACTGTCATGAGGTGAGGAGCCTTGCTCTCCGTGTCTCCCCTGACACAGTGCTCTGCCCACCACTAGTCTTCCCTTCTTTTAAGTTGCTGTCTCAGGTATCTGTCACACTGGCAGAAAGTTGACTTAACATGATTTGGTTCCAGCACTTCTTCTCCGAGGGCAGAAACCGCAGACAGTGTGTTCTTGGGTTTCCTTCTCTCTATATATGTGAGAGTCAGTGGGTGTGAACAATAAAAGCACGGACCTCATTAGCACATGAGACTGAAATCCCAGCACTGTGGCTTGCTGCTCTGTTTTCCTCTATTTAAAGGATTACCCAGAACTGGCTGTGGTCACTAATGCTGCTGATCCTAGCACTAAGGAGGTTGAGGCAGAAAGAAGCATCACTGTGAGTTTAAGGCCATCTTGGGCTACACAATGAGTGCACAAGGCCAGCCTGGGCTACAATGTAAGACCATGTCTCAAAATCACACACACACATATATACATATATATTTGTTTATATTTATATAATTCTATGTACACATAAACATATAAGCATAAACATAAAATGTATTTATGCATTTATACACGCATATTTACATATTTTGTTTTATATCTATGTTACATCTAATACAAATTATTTATCTATTATATCCCTACCACATTTTCTGTAATATATATATAAACGCTACTCCGAATAATGAAGTTAAGTACTTGGGAAAAATGAAGCTTGGAAACTAGTAGTAAATTTTAATGAATAGGGTTTATTTACTTCCGAAGTGAACTGCAAGTGTCCTTTTTTGTCACTTCTTCCTGCAGTCTTTGATCGCTCAGTGACACTCAAGTGCCTTCCCCCACTGCCTCTCCCAGGAAGGTCTGGACTGGGCATTCCCATTAGCATCAACCTCACTTTACAGACAGCAACTCTGGAGGTGAGGAAGCTAGTTCTAGAACTGCACAGGTTGACAGGCACAGACGGGACATCAGTAGCCTAGTTCTTGCAAGTTCTGAATACTCCACTCCTCTGATTCATAATGAAGCCTCCCTATCAATTCACCCTCCGCCACACAGCACAAAGTCCAAGCTGGGAAACCACAACAGACAGGAAATGTCAGGCCCAAATCAAATGGGAACATGCTTGGAGTGTTGCACTGAAGAGGGGCATGAGTTGTTTCTCTTGCTATTGGGTTCTAAGCCAGCTAAACTTGAAAGGTGCTTCTTCTGATCAGCATGCATCACCCTCACGGCACACAGCCCTGGCACACATTAGGGGTTTAATAATGTATATTTTAATAAACTACACAGCTGCATGGCACAAGAAACTTACACAGGGACAATGTCCGAGACAAAAGTGGAGGACCATTCCAAGCCTCCCACAGCTACACGGGAGCAGATGCATCAAAGATAGGATTTTTCCTGTCCATGACAGGAAGCCCTGTTAAGCCATTCCCGTCTCTAGCACCACCACTTTGTACACAGGAAGTCAAGCAAGGTTCTTCTTCCTAGGAACACTTGATAATGAAATGAACACATTGGTGCATTGAAAATGACTTTATTACCAATCCCACCCTGTTACAGTCTTGGGTGTATGTGTGTGTCCGTGTGCCTGTATGTGTGTATGCAGATGTATGTATACATGTGTGATGTACATGTGGAAGCCAGAAGTCAACCTCAGGAGTCACTCTTCAGATGACATTCACTCTGTTATTGAGATAGGGTCACATTGACCTGAAGCTTACCAAGTAGGCCAGGCAGGCTGGCCAGCAAGCATCAAGAATCTGCCTGTCCCTGCCTCACCATAATGAAGACAAGTGTACTGCCATGCCCTGCTTTTCTTATATGGGTTCTGGAATCTGAACTCATGTCTTCATGAATGTATATAAGCACTCAATGGACTGACCTGTTCCCCCAGTTAGAGAGTGCTCGGTAGTGGAGTGCTTGCCTACCATACATGAGGGCTGGGATGAATACCCAATAGTGCAAAAAAGAAAGAATATTTAGCTGAGTATGGTGGTGAAGACCTACCATGTCAGCAATGGAGGGTGAGATTAAAAAAAAAGGATGAGTTCAAGGCCAGCCTGGGCTACATAGTGAGACCCTCTCTCAAATCAGAAACAAATAAAATTACAAAAAACAAAGAATATTATATACTTGTCCCTTCTACCATTTCATGGATTTCATTCTTCTGTGAACTTCTATACAGAGTTACTCTTTAGATTAGGAAAACTACAGCCTAATAAATATGTTAAATTAAATCCATAATTGCCTCCCACAAAAATCAAAAACTACATTCAATGACTAAGTAACTTCTTCATTTTCCTATGCTTAGCCCCTACCCTTTGAATCCAGGCATGAAGGCAGCCAAGCTGCTGCTTAAAGTGTCTCTCACACAGTCAATTACTTTCCTAAGCATCAAAATGTGGAATGAGAACCCAATTGATACAGCCTTCATGTGGGGCACAAATTAAAGACCACAGAATCTGAAACTCCTGATTAGACTCCTTTTACATCTGTTAATAAAAGGATCTAGGAGCAGGCACCATCAGCCTCATGAATATGCATATCAAGGTCTGGAGGGAAGCCTGCTCAACAGACCCAAGGAGCCACCCTCCCCCTCAGGCCACAGAAGTCTCCTCTTCTGGGGAGTTATTTATAGCTCACAAGATAGAGACCCAGGCTTTTGTGAGCCACCTCCCTAGTTTTGCTTGCTCATAAGCACACTTCCTAGGAAGCATCATTTCATGGATCCATCTCTCAGCAAAGTGTCAAGTCCCCAGTCCCGTTCCCACACTTACCAAGTACCTTTCAGAAGACACACTGACCAAGATGAGGTCATCTCCAACCCGCACCTTTTCTCCTTCTGATCTCTGCTTAGAGGCAGGATGTATGGTCCACCAGCAAGCCTCCCCTGTGAGTGATAGAATCGAAACATGGAGAAGATGCAGTTAACCTAAGATCCATTTCCTCTTCAGGTGATACCACTCACAGGACTTTCAGAAATACGTGATGTTATGCAAACTAATCTCTTGGATTCTGAAAATCAAAAGAACTCAGCCAAACTCACTTAGGGTAGGACATAGAGAAATGCAAACTTTCTCCTAATGGGAAATGGATGCAATAGTTTGGTGTCTTTTTTCAATAAGAATTGCTGGAAAATGACAGTTTATTTACATGGGTTAACATAAGCCTAGATATGTCTGTTAGTCAGGGTGATGTTATTCCTTAAGCAATCTTGTTACATTACTCTCTAAAAATAAATCTACTTTTTACATGATTTTCATCAAAAGGAATTGAGGTTTTTCTGTTGGGGTAGTTGCATTATAAACGTTCGTTTGTTGATTCAAAACTGACACAAAGGATTGCTATCTTAAAGATCTCATTATCCTGTCTCCACTGCTCTGCTTTATTTCCTTTTAAAATGCATTAGTTCCTATTCATCTAAGAGACTCATAGTACAGAAAGATGCACTAGAAGAGCTGGGTGTACATTAAAACAAATACATCTAAAGTAAGCCAAGCGGCAGCACAAAGCACACATCCTCCTGCCTTCTGAGTCCCATCACCCACACCAGAAGCAGAAAGGCAGCCCACCCACAGTTCCTGTGAAGTCCCGAACTCACTGGTCCTCTCTGACAACTACAACTGTGTTCTGGTGGTACCCATCACCTACAAGTGCCATTCTCCGCCTTTACCAAGCTTTATTATTTTTCTTTTTTTAAGCTTATTTCATTTTTATTTACTTGCATTTGTATACCACAAACCAGAGCATGCGCACGACTATCAGGGGGCAGCTTGCTCCTTGTACTATATGGGATCTGGGGATTGAATCCAGACTGTTGGGCTTGCTCAGCCATCTTGCCTGCCCTTTATTATTTTTCTATAATATTTCTTTTTCTTAACTTACTCCCCAATGCCAGAACATGTGTGCCTTTTGTTCCTTGGGGTTTTCCCAGGTCCTGTCACCCACCACACTGTAGCACTCAACAATTCATTTTGTCTCAATGAGTAAATTCATCTGGGATACATCCTAGGAACTCAAGGTCAATATCGAATCTGGGCCTAAGATGTTCTCACTCAAACCAGTCTTAGCTGCACGTCACCAGGCAGAATTCTTCATTCCCATTCACTGGATCCACATTTTCATTCATTCACCCAAATACTGACAGTGCCCCCACTGTTTCTCAGTCATTGCTTCAGCAGTTGAAAATTCATCAACATAAAAATAAGATCATCTGCCTTCTTTAATTCTGGTGAAGGCAAAAAGAAAATAAAGGACAAATGCCATGGTTTTCCAGGAATTCACAAAAAAGGAGAAGCTGGGGAGAAAGCAGGGTAGAGAAAAGACTCAGGGTGTAGGGGAGGACTCTGGGTAGGGGACTGGCCGCTGTGTTACTCTGCCATGAAATTAGCTCAGTATATAAATACATGGCCTAGATCACGTGTTTTGGTGTGCAAACTCAAGATGTTTTACTTAACTATTTTCTAAAATACATTAAGAAAAAAAACTGAGAAACTAGAAAAACACAGAACTGAATTTATATAATACAAAGTAAAATATCTGAATATTATATTTATCTTTTTATGCCCAGGATTATCAAAATTATCAAAAGTTAACTGGGCTCATTATAAATATTTTTTCATTATCATCTCTGTTATTTTGTAAAAGTGTGGCTAATATGAAAAACCCTTTTTAATGACAATACAGAATGTAAACTTGTACCTTACATGTGGGTACCATGGACTGTTTTGCTATCTGAACTTTACATCAGGACAAAGACCTCTCCTCAGGCACGCATAACCTTTGTGTGTGGAGAAAAGATTTCAGTTCTTTCCCTCTTGCTTGCTGAAGATTTCAGGACATAAAACTGTAATCAGTAGCTACACTGTGCTAAGTACAGCTCCCAAAAACTTTGTGCATGTGTGTTACATGAGTTTCGTTTGGTTCATGGTGCTGGGGATAGAATCCAGGGCATTACACTTGTCAACACTCTTATCACTGAACAACATCTTCATTGAGAACTATTTTTTTTAAAGAGGTAAAATGGAGTGAGCAGGGAAGAACAACATAAAAGTTAGATTCTCTCCTTCCATCCCTTTTTCTACTTGGCATCTAATTTTTTTTTTTTGACATTTAGAATTGAACCCAGGACTCATCACATGGTAGACAAGTGCTCTACCACTGAGTTACATCCCTAGCTCTGTTACTAAAATTTCATTCCAGAAGTCATGCCTGCTCATTGTAAAAGACAAAATGCTCTAATTGGGGTACAGTGAGTCAACGTAGAGGCAGATGACAAAGAACAAGAACACGGAAAAACCTTGTGCTCTCATATTTGGATTTTATGGAAGGATAAATGTTTTGGATAAACCTTTTTCGTTGTTTCCAAAATAGGGAAACAGCTGTCTTTTTGGACACACAGCACAGCAGAGCCCTGGAGGCAAAGCAACAAAGAATTTCATTTTATACTTTTGTGTTTGAGTGCTAACGTTGAGCACACTATTATATTATACCTAGGAATGTTTGAAGACGAATGATTAAAAGTCATGCAGTGATACTTTACAAACTGTTCAGCAAACATCAGCAAGCTTTACCATAGCCAATCCATCATGCAGTATGCATTGACTTTATCTCTCTCAACCCACAAGTAAGGATATGCTGTCAAAATTTTATATCTAACCAATCACCTAGGAATAATCAACCAGAAGGAAAAAATACATTCTCCCACTCTACCAAAAATGTCAAAGAGAAAATCACTTTCCTGACTTTATGATACAAACAGCCACCTCATGTGTCTCTGACCATGTCTAGCCAGACTCTCTCTGAGTAGGGTTCCATTACAGTACCAGGTACTCACCTGTGGTGTCTTCTTGAAGACCAACATCAAAGGCCAGTTTGTCAGTGGAAGACCGGGAGGTGGAGAGACAGCACAGATACTAAAAATACAAGATCAGTCATCACCACAAAATGTGGACAGTCCTACTGAAGCTACCATTATTAATGCAGCAATAGACATGGATGAGCAAGTACATCTATGGTCTGTTGACTTAGAATTTTATGGGCACATACCCACACATGGTAGAGCTGAGTCACATGGTCACTCTATTTTTAGCTTTTTGGAAGTACTTCCACACTGATTTCCATGGTGGCTGCATAAGTTTACATTATCACAATCAGCACGTAAGGGTTCCTGCCTTTCCATATCCTCACTATCATTTGCTATCATTTTTTTTGGATGACAGCCATTCTGAATAGGGTGATGGGTGATGTGTGAGCACATGAAGTAGAAGAGGGACTATGAGAAAGATGGGAAGGTGTAAATGGAGAAGGGAGAGGAAGTGAGAGAGAGCAATAGGCTCTATGTGACATGAAAGCAGAAAAAGGGACCATTTGGAGGAAAGAAGACCAGGAAGGGCAGAGGAGGGACAGCGGTGAGGGAGGTGAGCGAGAACAAAGCATAATGTACACGTGTATATGAGTGCAGATATATTATAATTTATATGCTAACTAAAATTAAATTATTATAAAATGTGTACAGTCATATCAGAGTCCAATTTGGACAAGTAAGCTGCTATCGGTCTATCTCTGATTAGTGTTTCTCTAAAAATTTTGATTCTGTGAGAAGCAGAGACCTCCCAACATCGGAGGCAAAGCATCACTTGCACAGAAGGCCTTCAAAGCAACAGGAATAAGGAAAGGCAGACCTTTGCCCCTCACAAGAGACTAGGGAAATGAACTCTGTCAGGACAGGGAGAAAAGTGATCGGGACATGTTTGTATATCTCTCCCCTCATGTGATAGTCATGGCCTTCTGCAAATGTACAACATGATCTTACATCAAAACGCTGTCCCCAAAAGAAACCTGAGCACTAGTCACTTTTATCTTCTACTTTAGTTTTCATAAAAGAAACACCCAGAATCTACTTGGGTATGCAGTTCTTCATCCTGATAAAAGGAGGGCAACACGAATATCCACAAACACATTTCTCTCGGGGGACTCTGACTGTCTCAACTGCACTGCCTCATTCCCTCCATCTTTAGATTATCTTAAGTGTATCTATTCTTAGATATAAAGTTTAGATCATTTTTCATGCCAGCTTCCCTGCCCCCAACTTCAAACACCTTGTTAAGTGACAGAAGAATGAGGACACTAAGATGAATGTGGTATGAGCTTAAAATACCGGACCATCTGTGTGAAACAAGTACTTTGCCAGTGAGAAGGGGCTCCAGCAAAGAAAATTCAGAAACAATGGTGGGAACTAAGCAAGGCTAACCCCCTTCCCAAAGGCCTGGGTGGTTAATGCCAACACTAAGCAACCCTTTTATGGAACATGGCACATCTGGCTAAATGGTGTCCGCAGGTGTATGAAGGGAGATGGAGGAATGGGCTGGATGAGCAGGCACAGCAGTTGGAAGTCAAGATCCTAGGGCTGTGGAATCAAACTGACCTGGAGACTCACTCTCCATCTTGACTGCAAAGCACTCCCTCTCAAGATGACAGACAAGAGGCTCTGTGGATCTCCACAGATAGTATTTTATCTTACTTTTCCAAAAGGTATTTTAAGTTTTATTTTGATATTTTTTACATTATGTATATGTATGTGCATATGAATGAAGGTAACCTTGGATGCCACAAAAGGGTGTCAGATCCCTTGGATCTGGATATTTTAATGCACTTATGAATTAATGGTTGAAACAAAATTAGAAATGGAAAATAGCATTTGGATTTTATACTTGCCTCTTCCTAAAATTTGCTTTTCTACATATATTAAAAATCTATCATACAAATAGACTAGATATTAGAACTGTAATTCTTGCTTTATAATTGTTTTGTTATATGTAATTTTACTATGTTAAAGTTAAAACCCTTTTGAAAAAAAGAAAAGGGGAAGTGCTAGGGATGTCTTTCTGTATGCTGTGAATGTGTTGCTCTGATTGATTGATAAATAAAATGCTGATTGGCCATGAGCCAGGCAGGAAGTATAGTATAGACGGGATAAGCAGAGAGGAGAATTCTGGGAGGTGGAAGGCTGAGTCAGGAGATGCTGCCAGCCACTGCCATGAGAAGTAAGATGTAAAGAGACTGGTAAGCCATGAGCCACATGAGAATATATAGACTTATAGAAGTGGGTTAGTTTAGGATATAAGAACTAGATAGCAAGAAGCCTGCCACGGTCATACAGTTTCTAAGCAAAAAAAAAAAAAAAAAAAATCTATCAAAGGCATTGAAAATAGGAGTCATACCTGATATGTATTAATCTAACCTTCATCTTATAAATGAGAAAACTAAACAAGACACTAGGGTATTAAAGAACGTATCTATTCAAACTCATTACTATCATTACTGAAATGATACCCTCAACATTCTAGACAGTCTATCTGACTCTAGACCAGTCAAGATGTTCACTCACCATACCACTGTAGGAATGGCGTAGCAATATGGCATGTCCATAGAGGAGTGTCCGGTGGCCTCCACCTTGAGCAGTCTATGGAAAGGACAGAAGAAGGGTAGAGAAGAGGAGAATCATGAATGAGTAAAGAACTAGGTCAATACATTTTTCTTCTGTCTTCATAGGAAAGTTCAGTAAGAAAGAGTAAAACAAAAGTACTGGGATACACCTACCTATGGTATATGTATACAAAGGTATACACTTAGCTATGGTGTATGTGTACAAAGGCATACACCTGCCTATGGTGTATGTGTACAAAGGCATACACCTGCCTATGGTGTATGTGTACAAAGGCATACATCTACCTGTGGTGTATGTGTACAAGGACATATATACCTGCCTGTGGTGTATGTGTACGAAGACATATACCATACATGCCCCCTACCTCAATTAAGGTGCTTGAGAAAGAAGAGGGGGTACAGTAATGAAATTCTGTATTTGGGGTGACCATCTTCTCTTAATGGGATTTGTAATTTAAGAGAGCCCATGATTTAATGAAAGGTAAAATCTGACTTTTTAAAAAGACCTGTGAAAATGGTTACCCCACTTCTAGGTGGGAGGCTATTCTCATTCCCATAGAGATGACTGACAGACTCAATATTACAGAATAATGTAAAATAAATCCATAAGATATAAGTGGATAAAAATGTCCCAACTTTCAAATGAAACCTAAGTGATACTTCTGAATGTCATCTAAAAAAAGAAAAATTCTCATGTAAAGTTCACAAGTCATTGTAAGACAAATTTAGCATCGCTGGCCCTTTGTGGGCCTTTACATTTCTAGGACCAAGTAAAAAATGTCCTCCTGATGAAATCACATTGTAAACTAAAGTGTCAGTGTCTACACTTGGGTGTGAACTCAATGTACAATCTACACTTACATTTCTTTCTTTCTTTCTTTTTTTTTTTTTTGGTTTTTCGAGACAGGGTTTCTCTGTGTAGCTTTGTGCCTTTCCTGGATCTCACTCTGAAGACCAGGCTGGCCTTGAACTCACAAAGATCTGCCTGCCTCTGCCTCCCGAGTGCTGGGATTAAAGACGTGCGCCACCATCACCCGGCTACACTTATATTTCTTTAGAGAAACAGTCATAGGGGCTATCTATCTCTTCCACTTTGTGGGACAGGAGAACAGCTGGATTTCTACAGCTGCACTTGAGGTATTACTGTCATAAGCTTAAATCTGTAGCCCACATAAATATAAAATCTGAATGGTAATGATGAGGACCAATAACAGTGGTTTACCAATACATGAATATTGTTGGTTCTATATTCAACCTTCAGTGCTGTTTTTTAGGCTCAATATTTTTAAAAATACATGATTGCAATATATACTGGCTTATTAATCAATCTTTTATATTATTTACTATCAAAGCCATTAAATTCACTAACTATAAAATATAATATCTAAACATCTTAAGTATGGCTATACTATGTCATGCCACTTTTGAAGCTGTGTGATACTAAACCAGGGCGGACAGAGAACCCTTCCTCTGTACAGAAACACTCTGATAGTCTGATTCAAAGCTGTCATTCTGTGAGGCTTTTGTAAAAAATGAAATCAGAGCTGCAAAGAAGCTCAGTGGTAGGGTAATAAGGATTATCACATGCAAGTCCTGGGTACAATTCTGAGGGAGGGGGACAGAAAGAAGGGATAAAAGGGGGAAGGGGATGGGAGGAGAGAGGCTGGGAGAGGAATAGGGGAAAGAAGGAAATGTGGTTCACTAATCTTCTATACCCCTGGGAGGCTGTCATGTGTCATGGAACTCTAGAAGTCCTGTGACACAGAACCATGGCCTAGAAACAGACATTATACACAGCAAGGATAATCTGTAATAAGATTTCTTTCACAGTGTTCAGACATTTAAGTGGAGAAACATTTAAGTATATGTACAAATATTAACATCAGGAATAAAGAAAAAATAGTTGTTTCATGGAGGAAAAATCTTCAGAGAAAATGCCTCTCTGCCCAACCTTGCCCAAGGTCTAAGAATAACTGGAGGTAAAAGGAGCCTCACCCAGGGGCATCAGGGTCTGGTGGGGTCTGACATTTCCAGCCAAATTGAATCCCAGTTACAAAAAATTCTCTAACAGTCCTGCAATCCTTAAGTCCTGAACCCCACAAAAATATCAAGAATGATTCTAACAAGATGCCTGGCTTGGCCAACCCAGTAAAACATTGAGCAAATAGTGGCTTGACGGTAAGTGGCCAGCCTCTCACCTGTGCTAGTGTGGAAACCACAAGTCCCCTGAACAAACTACCATGAGTTAGATAACACCAACACAAGAACCTTGGCACCAGCAATCACAAACAGGTTCCCATAACAAGTACACATCCACCTGGCTGTATATCAGGATTACAAGATAAAAACTGATCATGTTCATCCTACTAAGTGGTGCAAACTGCCCTAATCACATGTGTGTGCTCTGTTTAATGAGACACCAACCTTTCCTCAATATCTAATGTGATGAATTCTGTCCCACACTTAAGAGAAATCAGAACCCAATTCTGTCTTAAAGGTATATAACATCTGGATTTAAGTGGCCAACCTCATGTTTCTATCTGTACTGTTTTACAAATCAGCTCCTGCAATGGACTTGGGGGTAAGTAATTTGGTTGATGAGTGTATGCACCTGTGAATACAGCATGGTTTAGAGGTCGGGGTTAGCAGGCAATGATTCAATAAATATAGTAAATGCATATTCGGCAAAAACAAAAACTGAATTTTTTCAACCCAAGGTCACTATTTATTAATATCTGCAGGAAATGGCATATATTCATATTTTCATGCTTATCATATCTACACAACCAAAACACTTGTCATGATAGATGTAATACAGCATGTAGCACCCTTTCCTTATCATACACCAGTGTTTTCTACTGAAAAATAAGAGCTGAGTGACATGATATTTTGAAAGATGTTCCACATCTTCATTAAGAGGTAGCTTCAAAGAAATAAATACTAGGCTCTGTCATCTAATCAGCAGTCTCATGGTCTTTACTATTAGTGAATAGGGTCAACCTAGGAAAGGCAACAATTCCTACCCTGGGGTTTAGGATGGGAATGAAAGCCTTAACTAACTCAGTCAATAGATGTGCAAGAGAACTGTCTCATTTCTTTCCTTTTCAATCCATATCCAAATTTTCATCCATATTTCCAGGAATTTCTATCTTTAAAATGATGTTTCTTCAGGTTACAAATTGTATTAAGTATTTATTAACTGAATACAAATAGATGTATTTATTGTTTCTGAGGTTTTAGCATAAAACAGCAAGCTTCTTGAATAATTATAGGATAATGTGGCTGAAACTGCCCCAAAAAATTCAACTTCATTTCCCTCTCTGTCTTCAACTTCTTCCTTCAGTGACATTACCACGTGCTTTAACCTCTTGAGATGTCTCCTTTGAAGGGCTTCCAATTTTCTAAGTTAGTTGAGAAATAAAATAGGGATGAATTACTTTCTTTTCTAGAACAAATATGTAGTTATTGATGCTTGTGGTGGTTTGAATAAGAAATGTTCCACCGAGGCTGGGGTATTTGAACACTTGACCTCCGGTTGGCAGCACTGTTGGAAGAGGTTTCAGTTATGTAGCCTTGCTAGAGGAAGAATGTCACTTGAGGCAAGCCTGGAGAGGACATAGCATCACCCTGCTTGCAGTTAATCCTCTGCTTCATGTTTATGGTTGAATGTGATCTCCCAAGTCCCTGCTCCAGGCACCATGCCTGCAGCTTGTTTGCCATGCCTTCCCACCATGACGGACTCCAGCCTTCTGGAACCATGAGCTAAAACAAACTCTCTCTTCTATAAGTTGCCTTGGTCACAGCATTTCATCACAGCAACAGAAAAGTAACTAATATGGAATTTCTTCTCATTTCCCAATGTAAGGTCCCATGAGATTCACATAAGTGTCTTCCAAAAGCAAAACAGCCAGAATCCCTACAAAGGTAGCATTCTAATCAAGTAACAATTGAAAAATACTTTAATGGAAGAAATCCCTAAAGATGACTAATTAAACTTAATTTGGTGCTATATGACCCTAAAGTGTCAAAATTTATTTAAATTATAAAACCAAAACAGATGATTTACATTTAAATGTTAAATATTTGATTTCATTTAAAATTTTTTAAAGGAAAGTTATTGTGCAAACATAAAGCAAGTTTGTATAACCATCCTAAAACTTATAAAATACTATATATAGCCATCCTAAAATTTATGGAATATTGCCTTTGACCATACATAAGCAACACTACAGCACATGTCCTTAATCCCAGCACTTGGGAGGCAGAGGCAAGTGAATCTCTCAATTCGAGGCCAGCCTGGTCTACAAAGTGAGTTCGAGGACAGCCAGGGCTACACAGAGAAGCTTTATCTCAAAAAGTCGAAAAGAAAGAAAGAAAGAAAGAAAGAAAGAAAGAAAGAAAGAAAGAAAGAAAGAAAGGAAGGAAGGAAGGAAGGAAGGAAGGAAGGAAGGAAGAAAGAAAGAAAGAAAGAAAGAAAGAAAGAAAGAAAGAAAGAAAGAAAGAAAGAAAAAGAAAGAAAGACTATATATACTACATATAGCCATACTAAAATATAGGAAGTATTACATATACCCACACTAAGAGACGTGAATTATCACATATACCCATACTAAGACAGGAACTATCACACACACAGCAGAAGATCAAGGCCTCACCTTCATCATGAACTTCTGTGGAAACATAAAGAAAAGAGAGAAAATATTAAATACAAATCATTGCAAGGACTCAAACTACCTTATTTATCAAAACCCCACTGTTCTAAGTGGAGCAATGTCAACGATAAACAGAAAATTCACACTGATGTTGCAACAGAACGTATATTCAACTACATGCTAGAAAAATGCTATAGCAAGCAAAATCTTTTTAAAGGAATCTTTACATTAGTTCAGCTGTTTTCTGTGAAAACATGCCACACTAGTTTAAAAATGCCTGGCTCAATTTATGACATCCAAGCACTGAAGAGGTATAATCTTCCATTTATTCTCTGCAAATGCTTAAATAAAAAAACTTCATTTCATCTCTTTTGGCATAAATGCAGTGATACAAGACAACCCAACTAAGTTTAGTAAAGCTGGTAGGTAAGAAGAAACAGATTAGGAAACTCTGAAACATGGAGCCGAACATCCTTCATGCAGGGAACAGGAAGCAGTCCTTAGATGCTGCCTATGGTGAGAGATGCATTTCAAAGAAAGGCACACAAGCTATTTCTCCTTTTCTCTAAACACAGCACAACCTCTCTAATACAGCTCTTATCTCTTCTGTAAAACATTTACATCTTTCCTAGTCTTTACTAGATGCCCTCTAGTTTCTTGGATTTGTTTCTGGGAAGGTACATAGATAAACATTCAAGAAGGAGGAAAATGTTTGATTTCCCAACTTAGGGCTGAAGTAAGTTGTTATAAACAGATTTAAAACATATTAAGAAAAAATATGGACATATCCCCATTAGGTTTAAGGAAAACATCCAGGGAACATTTTCCAATATACATGTTTGTAAATATTACAGTTGCTTCCCTGAAACACATATAAACAGAAGCATGTGTATAAATAAGTGGAAATACCATTGTGAGTGATGTTTTTCATTTTCTATATTATAATGTCAAGGGAAATTCTTGCCCACCTCTGCTTCACCATTGAGATTAGCACTGCTCCAAGCTATCATTATAGAAGCTCACTGCAGGCAGGTAACACAGAGAACCATAACAGGACAAAGTGGTAAGGATAAGTGATGGTGGTATGCTCGGCTCTAAATGAGCAGTCATACACCGCCCTCCAGATCTCAGGAAACATGGTGACACAGGTGATGGAGAAGGTGTAAGAGCTAGAAGATGGGGAGCTGGGAAACAAAAAGATGTCTTCTGGACATGGCATGGCCACTATACTCATAACACTGCAGCTGTGAAAATCTGCACAATACCTGCACAAGATTAGGTCCACCAACAATTCATTATGGAGAGGGTGGTGCTATAAGAGGCCACAATATTCCCTGAGGGAATATATCAACAGTTAATGGTTGTTGGGGAGGATGTCATTTTATTCAGTGATGTCACAACTGGAAAGTTGCCCATGACCTGTTAAATAACCTCCCACCAACTCCTAGCAGTGAAAGCAAAGGATGTCTCTGATTCTGTTGCCTGATTTGGGGACCCATTCCTCCTGCCAGATTGCCTCATCCACCCTTGCTTGAGGATGGGGTGCCTGGCCTCAGTGCAGCTTGATATACCATGGTAGGTGGACCTCCAGGGGATGCTCACCTCTACTGGAAGAGAAACAGTGGAGGAGTGGATGGTGGTGAAGAAGGGGAAGCTTTGGTTAAAATGCAACAACAAGAAAATAAATTCAAAAAAATTGAAGACCTCCCACCATGCTCAGTCAAGGAACTCCAGGTAAACTCTGTGGACCATGCACAAAAGGAACTTCTTAGGTGGTGTGAGGAACTTCTTAGGAAAAGGGTTCCAGTGGGAAAGAAAGGAAGTGGGATGGAGGTGAAATGGACTTAAATGTATTGTATAAATGTATGAGCTGTCAAATAATAAAAAGTAAAAGAGAATTTTTATTATTCACTTAGAAAATGCAGGAAGTTAGTTACAAAAAAAATGTAACTGATATTAATGGTCAATGACAACAGGAAACTTACTTTCCATACCAAAACAATACATGCCCTCATATCTGACAATATTGGATGTCCTAATGGTTAGCTTCCACTGTTAATGTGATACTGCCTAAAGTTATCTTAGAGGAGAAGCCTCATAGAGGGATTGCCTAGATCAAACTGACCTGTATGTGTATCTGTGAGGGATTCTCTTGATTGTTAATTGATGCAGGAGGGCCCATCTTACTATGGGAAGCATTATTACCTTGGTGGGTGGTCCAGGGCTGTGTAAGAAAGCCAGCTAAGCACAAGACAGTGAGCCAACAAGCACCTTTCCTCCATGGTTCTACCCTGATGTCTTTCAATGATGGACTATGACCTGGAAGTGTAAGATGAAGTTTTTCTACCCAAGTTGCTTCTGGTCAAGGTGTTTTATCATAGCAACAGAGATCAAAATAGGACAATGGAAATATGATCCCATGAGGAAATGGAGAGAATCATTTTCATGTCATATTTAGAAGAAACAAACAAAAAATCAACATTTTTCAAATGGCACATGGTTACAATAGATACTTTCTGTGGATTTTAATTGGGTTGGGATTGGAAATTTTTCTTTAAAAACTATTCTTGATTTGATTTGGCAGTTTCCTAAGTTAACTACTTTACAGTGGCAGAAGGTAATTTTACAAAGTAGTCAGCAGAGTTGCCCAGGTTGGCTCTTCAGAATATATAGTCGTGTATAACATCAGGAAGAGGAAGAGGAAGACACAGAGCAGGAGACCTGACCATACAATGGAGTAGAATGAACAGAACAGCTAAGGGAAGGTGGAAGCATCCATCTGCAGAATGAGAAAGAACAGCACGTATGGATGCCACACAGCTGTCCCGGGACAACCAAGAGCACAAGAGACTGACTGCAGCTTAGATCCAGATTAACCTTCTTTCTTTTCAAATCTCTTGAATAATTTGGCTTAAGTTGTAACTATCAACAAAGCGATGACAACAGAAGATTTTTCCAAAGGGATCACTCATGGGAAAGGAAGAAAGAAACAGCATTAAATCAGGAGGAATGGATATATTAGTTTGATCTCCATCCCAACACCACGTAGGTATGATTAAAAGAAAAAGACAACAACAAAATCAACTAAGGAAACCCTTTATGACACATCCTCTCTCTATGCTGAGAACACCATGTTTATGCTTAAAATAAATATAATGAGAGATAAACTGAACTAATTTCACTTGTGAAAATTTCTCTGGACACAAGCTAAGATTTCAGTAGAGAAAGTGGAGTAAGGGGTCATGATAAGGGCGATTATAGCATGGGCATGTTGCACAGGTTCTGACCCACTTCCCATTCTGGTAGAAGTTCTTAGATGGTATGAAAGGATTTTAGGCTAGAAAAGTCATTGAGTATTCAAAGCTTGGCGAGCTTTTCTGTGAGAGCAAGCCAGTAAGCAGCTCTCCTCCATGGCCTCTGCATCAACTCCTGCTTCCAGGTTCCTCCTCGCTGCTTTTGATGATGAACTGTTGTGTGGAACTGTAAGTGAAACAAACCTTTTCCTCCCAGAGTTGTTTTTGGTCATGGTGGTTCATCACAGCAACAGTAACCTTAAATAAGACAGATGGTGACCAATTTGCACAGAAACACAGAGTTTTAGTTCTCTGGTGTAAAACTGCATGCGGCTATCAAGTGCTATCTAGGGTCAGTTCAGTTGCTATAGATTTCACAGATGATGTGAAGAGCAAGAGCTGAGGTATGACTGCCCACAACACCTTTACTAATGTTAAAACAGGGAGAGAAATTGCTAGCATACCCTCTCAGCACAGGCAGAGGTGATACTGCTGGACAAATGATTGACTGAACACAACACAATCCCATGTGGTCACCCATCACCATAGATCTGAAAGACCCCAGTAGGTGTACTTGGGAAACACAAATGATTACAAGGAGATTATAAGTAAAATATCAATGCTTCACACAGACAACAAATGCCAGACATCAAAAGAACCCCAAATTATGCTCTATCTTGTTCTCAGTACAAAGCAAGAAACAGTCACTCAGGGAACACCTTGACCATTGTGAGGACTTGTGGCTCAGCCTTGTTATCTTTAACATATTCAGTTTAGTAATGTGAAACAGTAACGGCTATTCTTGGTTGTTGACTTGTCTACATCTGGAACTAAAACCCAAAAATGGTGGACACATCTATGGAGGATTTTTTCTTACTTTGAAGGAGGAAAATCCACCTCTAATTCAGATCTTTGCGGTAGGAAGACATGCCTTTAATTCAGATCTTTTGAGCTGGGAAAAGACACACTTTTAATCCAGATATTTAATCCAGTTCTAATCTAATATGGGCTGCTGGAAGCCTATATAAGGACATGGGAGCAGGAAGCTTTTACTCTTGGCCTGTTTGTCCTTGCCTTGCTAGCAAGTCCATTCCTTCACTGGCATCAGAGCCTACTTATTTGGGATTTGAGATTCCAGTGTCTACTGAAGACCAGATGAGGCATCCAATCTCATGTACTGAAAAACTCCTGGATTCTTGGACTTTCCTTTCACAGCTAGCCATTCCATTGTTGGATTAGCTGGACCACAGCCTGTAAGTCATTCTAATATATATATATATATATATATATTATATATATATTAGAGAGATAATAATTATAATTAATAATTATAAATAATAATTAATATATATATATTAGAGAGAGAGATTCATTCTATAAGTTCTGTTATTCTAGAGAGCCCTGACTAATACAAATGAATTTTTCATTAATAATTCTGTGCCAGTGAGATGTCTCTACAAGTAAGGGTGTCTGCCACCAGCCAAGCCTGACTATTACAGGGAAAAATGGATTCTATATCTAGGTGGAATCCTGCCTTCTCTTCTCCCTTAAGAGTTAATTCTGTTGAGCAGGTCAGGAACGTACCCAAGGGGCCACCCATAGACAGGTGAGTTCTCCTTCAGATAATGCACTCTTTCTTCCTAGAACTCCACCCTGTGCAGCTCCTATCAGCCCCCACCATGCTGTGCTGGGTCTGCTGACCTTTCTAAGTCCAGACTCAGAAAA